GCTCCATCTCTGAAGGTTTTTAAGAAGAGATTGGACAACCCTTGGATCCGGATGGTCTAGGGCCATGATGGCAAACCTATGGCAAGCATGCCACAGGTGGCACCCAGAGCCATTTGTACTGGCATGCGAGCCGCAGGCAAACTAACCTCACTGCGCCTGCGCCTGCGCCTGCCTCAAAGCTGATTTTCGGCCCGTTTGAGGCCTTTTTCGGCCTCCCAGAGCCTTTGCAGGCTGAAAAATAGGCCCGTTTCATCACTTCTTGTATTTCCGGAAATACCGGAAGTGACGAAACAGGCCCATTTTTCGGCCTGCAAAGCATGCAGAAGCTTCCCTCAAGCCTCTGGGAGGCCGAAAAAGGCCTCAAATTGGCTGAAAATCAGCTAGGAGGCGGAATGCAGGTAAGGGGATGGCGGGAGGGATTGCAGCGCATGCACAGGGGGCATGGGGGCTCATTGCCTTCTGGGTGCTGGCAGGCGAGCGCCACCGCATGCACAATTTTTGGCACAGGAGCCCAAAAAGGTTAGCCACCACTGGTCTAGGGTCTCCTGCTTGAGCTGGGGGGTTGGACTAGAAAACCTCCAACCAGGGGTGGGATTCAAATTTTTTAACAACTGGTTCTGTGGGCGTGGCTTAGGTGGTGGGTGTGGCTTGGTGGTCATGTTATTGGTTGGGCATGGCCAACTCAATATCACTCACATCGAGGCACGCATCTTCTTGCCTTGCCTCTCATGACTGTGGGGATGCTGCAACAGTCGTAAGTGTGAAAAATGGTCATAAGTCACTTATTTCAGTGCCATTGTAACTTTGAATGGTCCCTCCACACAAGCAAAGTATCAGCAAAGGAGGGGAGAAAACTCCAGAGAAGTTCCTGAGACAGGAAGTCTAGTCCTGCCGAGAATGTAATAAGGGTTAACGGAGAGGCAGTTTCTGTAAGCAACACCAGAATGTTTCCTTCCTGCCTTCCTTACAGGATTAGCCCAGTCATTTCTTCTAACAACCGGTTCTCCGAACTGCTTAGAATGTTAACAACTGGTTCTAGCGAATAGGTGCGAACTGGTAGAATCCCACCCCTGCTTCCAACTCCATTATCCTGTTCTTCTTTTTAGAAGCCGTATTTCCTTTTCTTGGGGAGTCGACTTGTCGGTCTGCTCTCCTTAAATGCAACTGACAAGGCACCAGATCATGGGCCAGTCTCTTCTCCTGGCTGACAGTTTGGAAGTCCTGCCTGACCTTTAGCCTGACCCATCTTTCCAGTTGCATTATTTCATCCGTTCCCACCCAGTCCCTGCCCTTTAAGGCAGGAAAAAATAAGTCTTCTATGTGACAATCTTTTCCCCCCCAAGAGGACGCTTGCTATCACAATGCCGTCATGAAATTGGCTGCTACCCCGCACTTGCTGATCTCTCTCTCTCTCTCTCTCCTGCTTCTGTTAGTCCCTTTTCCCAAACCCCCTCCCCAATCTTCCGACGTCCCTCCAAGGCCGACAGTGACGAATCCTAGTTGGCTTTTTTCATTCCTGGAGGTCGGCATCAGGGAAAAGAGTATAACAGGGTGCAGCTGAGGACAACGGACGCCTGTCACTCCCTGCTAGGTTGGGGGAAAAAAACAGAGGGATTCTCCTAGAGGGACAGGAGAGGAAAAATAGCCAGGATTGGACCTCAGGGAGGAAACGGCTGCACACTGAGTAGGGCTGGAAGGCGCTGTCTGAAGTCCTTGCTTTGTCATTGCCTTGGGTGAGCACTATTAATGTCATCCACAGATGCCCAACAAATCTGACCACAAGCTGTGGTTTTCAGAGAGGAAAACCCTTTTGGGGGGGGGGAAAGCTTGCTTTTTTTGGATTGTGTGTGCAGATTATTCAGGAAACTTATTGCCACCCAGCTAGTGTCATGCCCCTGTCAGAGTCTGAATCCGAAGAGGAAGATGAACGGCTGACAGGGAGTGGGAGTGTGGCTCCGTTGGCTGTGGAGGAAACTGGGGAAGGGCAAAGTCCGGCTGGACAGAGCAGGGAAGAGGTAGAACAAGGGAAAGGAAGTTCAGAGGAAGACTCAGGCCCACCCCCTCTTCATCCTAGGGCATGCAGGGAGGAAGGGAGAAGGGAGCAACATGGGTTGCATGGCTTACGGGGGAGGAAAGGGCCCTGATTCCCTTCATTAGCCACACCTGGGAAGAAAGTATAAAAGAAATGCATGCTGAGTGCTGGGAACAAACATGAGTGTATCTTGTGTTGACTTTGCTTATCTGTGTTCCTGGCATCTTCCCAACCGTGTGCCAAGCCTTCACATCTGGAATTCTGGCTCCTGCCCTGCCAAACTAATTACCTCATCTTGCCTTGATTGGACTTATAGTTACAGTTTGTTTTGACCACATTTTGGACTTGATTCTCTGCAGCCCAAGGCTGTTCCTGGGAGAGTTTTTCTCCAGTCCAGAAGGTAACCAGGACATTGGGGGCAAAGTTGGAGCTAATAAAGGGACTCCTACTGATTCTCTGACTGTGTTGCCTTTGTGCCACGCCCCTTTGGGTCATCACAGCTAATCCCAAATTCTTGTTTCAATACAGCTAGTTCTCGACATACATCCCTTTCTCTAGTGACTGTTTGAAGTTACAATGGCACTGAAAAGAGTGGCCATTGTGACCCTGGGCAGCATCCTCCCTTAACGAATGTTTCACCGAGCAACAGAGTGCAGTCATAAGTCAAGAACTGCCCGTAATGCCAAATCCAGCCTGAGCAGCCGGCTGACGGTATGGCGAACCAATGCTAAGTATAGCGCGAAGGATGAGCAAATAATGAAGTGCTGCGGTGGAGGTTGTAACACTTGGAGACAGCAGAATGGAAGAGAAAGACTTGGAGAAAGTCACAAGACCTGTGGGTACCAATCATGATAGGTGGCTTGGGTGCGATTCCAAAACATCTGGAGCAGCCCTTGAACACAATCGGCATTGAAAATCCCCGATCGGTCAATTGCAGAAGGCAGCTTGCCTTGAAACAACTTTCATCCTGCGTTGAGACATTTAACACCATCAAATATCAACACCAGCCCCTTGGGAAGGACTCAATAGGTGGGCAAAACTGCCAAATCCAGTCGCAAGACAGTTGGTGACTGTGAGACCAACAACAACAACAATAATAATTAATAATAACAGCAACAACAACAACATGATAGAGACATGATTGAGTTGCTAAATTAACCCACTGGTCCTTCCCCTGCCACGGCCACCAAGCCACACCCACAGAACCGGTAGTAAAAAAACATTTGAATCCCACCACTGACTTGGTTTATCCCTTGGATGCTGGCAGCAATAAACCATAATAAACCATTAGCACCAGTCACTGGTATTTGTGATACATTTTCAAATGTTCAGTGTACTGAGTTTCATGTTTAATGAATAAAAGAGATAATAATAATAATAATAATAATAATAATATTAATAATAATAATAATAATAATAATAATAATAATAATAATAATAATAATAATAATAGGAGAAGGAGAAGGAGAAGGAAAGGAGAAGAAGAAGAAGAAGAAGAAGAAGAAGAAGAAGAAGAAGAAGAAGAAGAAGAAGAAGAAGAAAAAGAAGAAGAAAAAGAAAAAGAA